CGAGGGTCATGATTGAGGGCTACTAGGTTAACCAGGGGACCAACATGTGGCAGGATGGTTAGGAAATCGAGATCATGCGGTTATGTCTCATAAATGCGCATGGTGGTATTTCTCAAAAGGATTCAATGATTGTCTTTAGGTCAATTTCACTTCTTCGAGGTCAAGGCTCAAACCACGGAGTGTAAATCGACGACCTCAGAAGTGAAGGGGCAATGTTTGGGCCCAAAATATTGGTTTGGGCCCAAAATATTGGTTTGGGCCAAGTTTAGAATTGTTCTCGGCCCAGAGGCCATGCTTAGGAGTCGTTGGGGGGCATCCGGCTTATGGGCAACATAGCCAAGGCTGGCTGTGTCCTATTAGGAATCCATAGGTGGTTGAATACTAATACGAGAAGGAGTTTCGACAGGATAAGGATGTAGAAGTTTGGGATCGAATACGGCCTAATATGGGGGTTGAGTTCAAAGTCCTAGTAGGAGTAGGACCGGCCGAGATAAAGTTAGATCGGGGGAAGAAGTTATAGTCCGAGTATGGTTGTGATTTAATCGGAAGCAAGTTAACTAATATAAATAGAGGGAGGATGACATCATTAAAGCCCCTTCAAATTCAACACACAAATTGCCCTGCGCAAACTCTCGTTCTACGCGAAACCTCTCAACAACCTTGTGATTTTTACTTTCTTTTTTCGCCGACACATCTTTAGTTTAGAGAAACAGCACTATGGAGGCAACCGGCAAACATCTTCAGTTTAGATAAATAGCACTGTTGCCGTATAATCAGCCGACCGTGAAGATCTTCAGTTTGGATAAACAGCACTGCAACAGGGCTGACTGGTTGTCTATCCAAGTCTCGGTCAAGAAGGATTTTCGAATCTTTATTGGCAAAGGTCATCTCATCAGCCTTCTCGGCGAAGTGAGGTGTTACTAAGGCTTGACACATTGAACGCCGAGTTGTTTTATGATTGGATACTCATAAGTAGGCTTTAGAGTTCGGCATTCTGACGGCCGAACCACATTTATCATCAAGACATATATCTGTTTTGAGAATATGTGCCCCTATACTCTGGTGTCGATTCGGAGTGCTTATAATCTTACGAATATAATCACTGTGACCAAATCCGGCGCCGACGATTTGTGAACTTTGTAGAACTAGTAGCCTTGTCTTCAGGCTCTAGAACCCAAAGGCAGAGACGTGTTTCTTCCTCGGTCGCAGTCGTAAGATCGAGAAGTCAGTCGCGCGCTCAACGCAATATCAACACATTTTACTCCTCGATCGAACTCAGCCGACAAGTTGGCACGCCCCACATCAACCGAAGGACATGTTAGCTCATTAGTTACTCGGCCTGCGCGCCACGTAGGCTTGGTAGTTTTTAAGGTCAACTGGTACGCTTGAAGAAAGTTTCACTCACCAATAGGTATTCTTCATTCCATTACTCGTGATGGTAATGTAGCTGTGGGATTTATAAGGTTGGAAACTCTTTGGAAGGGGAATTATTCACAGTTTCAGATGGCAGAATCCTGTTGTCAGGCTGAAAGTTAATGTATTGAGCCCTCGATTTTAATGGCCTAGTAAGAGGAGAGGGATGTGGGCTATCGGGGATGTATAATGGATCCTGCCATATAGGAGCCTTGGTGTCAAGTTCCTAGGAATGTTAACCTTTGTGGAAGAGAACTCTACCTTTGTAGCTGATCCTGCTGAAATGGAATTGGTTACGTTTAATGCTTGTCTAGGAATCGTGAAGAAGTACCAACATTTTGAGGATTTTCATTGGGTTGTGAGAGAAAGATTGAAAACAATCAGCAACTTAGAAAGAGAAAAGGCTTACCAAAATCTGAATGAAAAGTTAAACATCAAAATCACCTTCCCAATTTGATCCCAAAAGGAAAATCGCTATTGACTAACCATGACTGGCCTTCTTCTTTTTGTCCAATAATCGAAAGTTTCAAGAAATATCGGGAGGAAAATTTGAGATATATCTGTAGGAATTACCCATTGCAATTCTTTCAATTCCATCTTCTCCTTGAAAAACTGATCCTTTCTTTTCTAATGTTGTGTTTGAGAACAGTATGAATATCAAAAGTACATAAAACATAGAGAAATAATACATGTAAACAATTAGCTATAAAAAATAGAGAGAAATAATATCTCTAAATAGAATTAGCAAAATCATTTAAAACACAAAATTAGCCAAAAGCAATAAAGAATTAAATCATAATCAAAACCTATCGATGATTGTCCCTGCATGCTTGCTTTGCATTCCAACCAAAATCTGCATTGAACAACAATAAAAAAAAAACATAGAGAGTAGCATTATGATTGATTATGCCAACATCAAAGCCAGACAATGAAGGAGTGGGAAAGAGAGAAAAATATAAAAATAAAAATCCAAAATAAATAACTTAAAAAACCAACAGTATGGATTTAGAAATTGAAAGCCTTTGTTCTCTTCATGATTTCGTATTCTTGTGTGGTATTCTGGTAGATGAATATGAGGGGCAGTTATGAGTAACAATCGTTTATGAAAATTTGAGTTGGAAATAAATCCAAACTTATGCAATATTGCTTTGCAAAGGGACAAACATGGAGTTTATTGGTTTACATATGAATACTAACCTGCAATTTTGAGTGTGACAAACCTTATTATGCTGAATCCGGTGACAACATACAAAATATTCTAAAATAATCGCACAAAAGAATATATGATAAAAAAGACAGAGACAATAGAAACGAAAATACCACTCAAACACCCAATGGCATTGGGATCCTTTGTAAATGGGTTGAAAGCCTCATTACCTCTTTATGCTGCGATTCAAAAAAGTACGATCAAATCTCGGAATTGAGTAGCAATAGAAGAATCTAGTGGACTAAAAAAATCCCAAATAAATTAAAACTACAAAAAAAAAAAGGAAACAAAAATAATATTTGAATACATGAGATGATTGAAGAACTAATGGAGGAAGAAAATGAAAGAGTTTTAAGCTGGCCAAAGGTTAAGAGGGAGGAGTGGAGTTTGATTCAAACTGGCACCGGCAGTTGTGAAAGAGTGGGAAAGTGTTGTAGTAGTTGTGAAAGAGTGGGAGCGTTTTATACTGTGTTTCAGATTATGTCCCAACTCAACTCGATAACTACTTGTATCAAACTACCTTTGGGATATGAGTTTTTGTTTTTTTTTCCCAGTTTGTCCTTATTTTCTGCTTTTTTGGGGATTTGATTGTGAAGAAATTTAAGGGGCTTTTTTGACATTTTGAAATGCTTCACCTATTTGGGCTTCTTCATTTATATATACTAGACTCGGTACACATACTATAAATCAACGGTTGTAGGAATTTTCGTATCCTAGTTCCTTTGTCCATCTAGAAAAGCAAGATACCATCTTTCCTTGCTACTTGCAAGAAAATAATCCATCATTCAAGTAGGATATCATAACTTCCATCCCTATTGTTTGTGACTTTGTTTAGGTTCTAAGTTTTGATGTTCCAAAATTTTCTCTACGATACATGGTAGTGATCAGTAACTATATATTACTTCATTTTAGTTACACTTTCTAGAGTTTAGGGTGCATGGGAAGTGGTTTCTTTGATGCTTAATTTTTGTCCCCACAAGTATACAGATTATCCCACATTGTACATAACATTAAAGAAAACCACATTGGAAAATTTTCAGTAAAGGGAACATAGCACATTCAAGCAAATGAGAACATACAAAACTTATGGCTCCACTACAATGTAATCCTTCATTACACTATCCATAAACCATAGAGGGTCGACATCCATTCAGACCGAGAAACCCTACTTCCGAAGGCTAAACGAGCACTTTGAAACGCCACTGCATTAGGCCCTCATGAAATATGAGTCACAAGAATGTGGTGTTGTAGAATGCAAAGACAAACTTCGTCCTCATACATCCCTTTTGCAAAGCACTCATTTTCCAGATTACATCTGCATAGCCATAGCTGAATCCAATTCCACGATCAGAGGCAACAATGAAGAATATATATTTATTGCCAATTCCAACAATCGCGTAAAGTTCAATAGCTAACACAGAGATCAAACTTGGAACTCTCATTTTTACAACACCTCTAATAGCTCCAATGTTATCTATAACCTCTAAAGCACCTCTTAACTTCGTAAAGCGAACCCTATAATATACATCATTGTCTCCGAAAAAAAAGATCATTCAAATATTTCATAGCCCTTCGCATATCCAGCTTGAAAACCATTTTTTTCTGCCTGATTTACCTTTCCTTTTCAAACAATAAACCGACAAAAAGGTTGCAAGAATATTATCTAATAAAGTCATTTGGTGTGGGATGAATGTACTCTGGAACTCAGAGATAACATGCGTACAGAAGCACTCTCTTGAGCCTATTGACATTAAACAAACCCATTAGCTTAAACTCTTACACCCTCATAAGCAAAGAGTTATTAGAATTAGGCATTCGTAGTATGATTAAAGATATCCCCTCCCATACTATGTATCAAGACATAATACTACTAGCGTTACTCTTTAGCCATGAAGTTTGCTTGTTTTTGGAAAGGCTCATTTTGGTTTCAATTCCTAGCATCATTTTAAGAGATTTAACTCCTGCATACGCATTCAATATCTCACATATTATAAAATTTAAACAAATTCAAATAATATTTTTAAAATCACTTTAAATAATCTCATTATTTCTCTTTGATTGAATGCTAAGAATAATCCTATGTTGCAGATACCATGTGTTTATTTAAAAAATAATAATGGGGCAATATTGTTCGTCACGTAATTCCAGCATAAAAATAAGGAGAAATTACACATAGAGTATACACTTTTAATATTTAATTATATATTGAGACAACACTTTTTAAACATTTTAAAGAGAGACAAAAATTAATACATATGTAAGATGACATTATTAGTGCATTTTTTTTATGAAGTGTAAGTTACAAAAATACCCTTATATTTGAAAAGGTGGAGGCTCATAAACCTTAGCTAGGTGAGCGAGTGGAGGAGGTGCAAACTTAGAGAAGAGATAGAGAAATGACGATCCAATTCGAGAAGAACCGCAAGAAGAGAGGCATCAGCGCCGATCACGGTATAGGTAAGCACCGTAAACATCTCGAAGGTCACGGTAACACTGGAGGCATGCACCATCACCAGATCCGGGGTATTTCAATAAAATTGGTATGATATACTTTCACAAGCTTTGCTGAAAGTTTTTACTGCCCCATCGTCAACGTCGACAAGCTCTGGTCGCTCCTCCCCTAGGAGGCTAAGGACAATGCGCTGCTCATCGATGGGACGCCGTACGACTTCTTCAAGGTCTGGGAAAGGGTGTGTTGCCACAACACCAACCCGTTGCTGAGATTATCATCATCCTACTTCCAAGGAGATAGAGTTGGAGATCAAACGGACCTAGAAGGGGCAGGATGTGTTGAAATCGATTCTAAATAGAGCGATACAGGTTGTGTTTGGATCAAAACTTGAACTTTGGGCTCAAGAAAGGAGTTGGCCCAAAAGGAGGCCCGAAAGAAAGATAGCCGAAGCCCAGTCGAAGCCCAAAAGGCAGGGAAAGGCCTTTTTTGACTTGGTGCAGTTCATGAAGACCACTTGCTTGCCTACCCAAAGGCCAAGTGGTGTAGACTGATCAGCTACACAGCCCATAAAGTACTTTATGGTGGCATTACATGTAAAATAGCTGATGAGTCATCACCCTCAAACCGCATTCGGGCAAAGTTGCTGCTACCAAAGGCCAAGCCGAGTTGTCTATATAAGAAGAAAGAAAATCAAGGATTAAGGACACTCAATCAAACAAACAAATGCAGACACTCAATCAAACAAACAAATGCAAACACTCAATCAAACAAACAAATGCAAGCACAAACTCTGCTCAAGCCAGATTTGCCTTTAAAACAAAGCTGTAGTCAGCCTTCATCCCTTTCGGGACAAGCCTTCATCCCTTTCGGGATAACCCTCTCTTCAACCTTTTGTAATAGCTCTGCTACCTTGTTCAAACTTGCTGTAGTATCGATTCATCTTTTGTAATCTCTCTCTACCACTATAAGCTTTCAGACCTTTGACAAAACTACAAAGATAGGAACCTGCAAGACGAGCAACCTTACCCGATAAGGTTTAACCTTGCCCGACCTTCTTTGCTTTGGTTTGTCTTTTCAATATGTTGTATACTTCCAGTTATATGCAAGTTATTTCTAGCAACATGATTATTAAGAGGCTTTCTCAGTACTTGAATCCGATTTGAATATATCGTCAGTGTTCAAACCAGATCCAAGTCCTAAGCCCTCGGGCATGTAAATCTGATCAGTTAAAAGTCCTTGGCCTCAAGGCATAAAAAAAAACCTTAGGTGGACTTAACCCATCCACGACAGTCCTTGATAAACAAGAAGTCCGAAGTTACTTGGGGCGCAAGTAATCAACCTACCTTCTAGTTTTCTTTCTATTATATCATGATTATCATAGAACGCTTGAGTATGGGATGGATTCTAATGGAAAGCCTCAAGGCCTACACCTAAGGCCCCACAAAGGCATCCATTTGGATTCATTCCGTTCAGCGATCTAAAGAGTCTAAGTATAAGAATGAACTCTGATAAAAGCCTCAAGGCCTACACCTAAGGCCCCACAAAGGCACCTATTTGGGTTCATTCTACTTCTTGGATTCGGGTAATCAGAAGTATAATAGTTAGAAAACTCCCACAATCACGAGAATAAATATGATGTGTTCGAGCACTGGTTTAGTTATTTATGGGAAGCCTCAAGGCCTACACCTAAGGCCCCACAAAGGCACCTGTTATAACTAACACGGTTTCTTGAATACATACATATATATAACTAAAGCACGACAACCATTTTACATCTGTCATGCTAAAGATGGCAGTGGCACACCTGAGCACCTAAATGTTAACCTTGATTGTGAGTCTCAAGGCCTACACCTAAGGCCCCACAAAGGCACCTCTCAAAGTTAACGCTGTCATTCTCTTTCAGCCTTACCCGAAGAGTCTTGCCCGAAGAGTCTTGCCCAACGAGACTTGCCCGACAACGCCCGAAAACGAAGCAGAAGCCCGACAGCAGCCCTCAACCGGCGCGAACCTCCAAGGGAGCTGTGTGCTCATCGGCCAGGAAACATCCCCGACGGAAATTCCTACCACGAACAGGTTGGAGAGAAAGTAGCACTCTCCTAAAACCCATGTGTTTTCTTTGAATTTTATGTTGGGATGGCTCTTCACCTTGAAAAGTGTGGCTTTATATCAATGAGGTAAAAATTCATCTGAGTTTTGTGTATTTTTTTTTTCAATATTTTATGACTGTTAAATTTTGAAGTTTTTTTTAGATGGGTTTCTAATTGGTGGTGTAGGCAGCGTCCGAGCTGATAAAGATTGTAGTGAGCCAATTCTGGAGCAATACAGAATTGGAAAGAAATTCATGAGAAAAAAGGATAGGGTGGACGATGGAAATCCTGGAGAATGCTCTATCCACAGGTAATTTAAAAGTGATATAGTATTAAATATATAGACAAGTGATCTCAAACTTATGTAATTAGTTAGCCTTTTCATATATACTTGGAATTACATTAATAACTAGTTAATTAATTATTTGAAGTCCACCTTAATTTTTCACGTTAGAAGGGAAAGGCCATATGACCTCTGCAATGTTTGAGTTGTCTTTTTTCGTAGAGGGAACTATTGCCAAAATAATCTCATGAGAAGTATAAGAAGTATCAGAAGAAATTCATGAGAAGAATGATAAGGTGGAGGATAGAAATACTAAAGAGTACTTTATGCACGTGTAATTTAAAAGTGGTACAAGTGATCTCAAAACCTTCCATATGTAGGTTAGTTTTTCATATATACTTTAGTTTTTCGTATAGGGTTGTTCCATTCATTTAATGGTTGAGAAAAAAGGTTGTCACTTTTGAGAATTCTAGTTTATAGGATTGTTTCATTTAATGATTGAGAAAAAGATTGTCTTTTTTGAATTCTTCGTACTTGTTTGCGAAGTTAGATCATTTGAAACGTGTATTTTTTATCTTTACGTTATGAGATACTTCGTGGTTGTCTTCTAAATAATAAATAAATATTTGCAAAAATAGTCGAGGATTGATTAAACTGATTCTGCAAAAATGGTCGATGATGGGTTGAATTAATTAAGCAAAAATTGTTGAAGACTGGTCGAATTGATTTTACAAAAATGGTCGATGACGAATTAAACTGATTCTGCAAAAATGATTGAAAACTGGTTGAACTCATTCTACAAAAATAGTCGAGGACAGATTGAACTGATTCTGCAATAATGGTCGAAAACTAGTTGAATTGATTCTACAAAAATGATCGAGGTGGGTTGAACTGATTCTACAAAAGTGATCAAGGACTAATTGAACTGATTCTACAAAAATAGTCAAATACAGGTTGAACTAATTATGCAAAAATGGTCAAGGACGGGTTGAACTGATTCTGCAAAAATGGTCAAAAACAGGTTAAACTAATTTTGCAAAAATGGTCGAGGAATGGGTGAATTGGTTATGCAAAAATAGTCAAAGAAGGATTGAACTGATTGCAAATTAAAATGGTCGAAGTCAGATTGAACTAATTCTGCAAAAATGGTCGATGATTGATTGAATTGATTTTGCGAAAATGGTCGAGGATAGGTTGAACTGATTCTGCAAAAATGGGTGAAGACGGGTTGAACTGATTCTGCAAAAATGGTCGATGACGAATTGAACTGATTCTACAAAAATGATCAATGACGAGTTGAATTGATTCTAGTAATAAATGATACAAACTGAGTTTGCATATAGTTTCAGAACTGATTCGCATAGTCCAGAATGAGTAGCTTATGACACATTAATTTTGTTGGACAGGGTTGGGTTCTATGAGCCTTAGAGATATAACTGGTATTTTAGAACATTATTTCCATGTTTTTTGGTTGTGCTTTAGTTGTTTTTATGTTTTAGTCTCTCATTGACATATTTAAAAACTAATGGAGTTCCTTGAAATATAGTGAAAGTTTTTATCTCTCTATATAAAACTCCCCAAAAATAATATACCCACGTATTTATTAATATATTTTAAGAAATAATTGCTTATATATTTTAAAACATAAAATAAATACATGTAATTAGCATGAGTATATTCAGCAAAAAATTGGTTTAAACATCAATCTATCACCGATTTAAAGACTTCGTTGCGACATGCTAATATGCTTTTTGCCTAAGTCAATCAATTTATGCAACTGATCACAGATATGTCAATTATTTCAGATGTTCTTTATATGACGAGAGGCAATAAGGGATAGAAATGCTATATTTTCATTTCACAAAACAATAAGATTACATCTTAGGTGTATATATACTAATAACACACCCACTTGTGCTGCCAACTAATTACATCATCAATTAACCTAATCACAACAATAACTAACTAAACATCAGCTAATTATAAGGGTTGTTTTAACCACCTTATAACAAACTCATTCATTTACAATTTTACCTTTATTATCCCCCTTCAAACCGAGCGAAGGTAGCCGAAGAGAAAGTTTGCTTTTGAGGAACATAAATCTTTGCTTGGACAATGCCTTAGTACATAAATCAGCAACTTGATCCTGCGTGCAAACAAACAGGACCTTGACTTGGTTGGCAAGCACTTGTTCACGAATGTAATGAAAATCAATGGCCACATGCTTAGTCCGTGCATGAAAAACCGGATTTCTAGCTAATGAAATGGCTAAAATATTATCACATCAAAGTTGTGGACAAGAAGGAAGAACAAGGCCAACATAAACTAAGAGCTTGCAGATCCATGTCAACTCAATTGCAGTGTTGGCAAGAGATCGATATTCAGCTTATGTGTATGAGTGAGCCATAGTTGGTTGCTTCTTTGCACTCCAGCTAACGATAGTCACCTAGGTAGATACAAAAACCACCAGTAGATCGACAATCAATAATGCATCCTGCCCAATCGGCATATGAGAAAGCAATGAGAGTGAGAAGTTTCTAGCACTTTGGAAACCATAAACCAAGAGACACTGTGCCTTTGAGATATCGAAGAATACGCTTGCCAACCTGAAAGTGAGATTGTCGTGGATGCTACATGAATTGACATACCAAATTCACAACAAATGATAAATCTGGCCTGATCCAAGTTAAATACTGAAGTGCACTAACCAAGGACCTATACTCTATAGAATTAGCATGCAGGAGAGACTTATGATCCAGTTTCATGGTGCTAAGAGGTGTAACACAAGGCTTGGAATCTTTCATGTGAGTCTTGGTGAGAAGATCTAAGATATATTTTTGCTGGGATAGGAATATACCAGATGAGGATCGATGAACTTCAATACCGAGAAAGTAATGAAGTGGACTAAGATCCTTAACATCAAATAAACCACTAAGCTGAGAAATAAAACCTTGACATAGTTGAGCATTAGGGTCAATGACAATAATGTCATCAACACTGTAAGGCAATGGTTAACTTCTCATACCAGGCCCTGGGGGCTTGCTTCAACCCATGTAAAGATTTGTGTAAAACACAGACATGATAAGGTTTTGTAGGATCTTCAAACTCAGATGGTTGTATCATGAATACAGATTCAATTAAGTTGCCATGCAAAAATGCATTGCTAACATCAGGTTTGTTGAGAAACCAATCAAATTTAACAGCCATGGTGAAGAACAGTCTTATAGTGACAAGCTTAACAGCTGGACTAAAAATCTCAGTGCAATAAAGACCTTGTTGCTAATGAAAACCTTTTGCAACAAGTCTGGCTTTGTACCTGTCAATGGTACCATCATGTTTGCTTTTAATCCGAAATACCCATTTTGCACCAACGAAGTTTTGAGAAGACTTAGCAGGAACAAGAGACTAGGTTCCTGTTTGAATGAGAGCATTGAATTCCTCCTGCATAGCTTTCCTCCAATAAGGGAATTGAAGGGCCTGAAGGTAAGGTGTTGGTGTGTAATCTGGGAATAGATTAGAAGGGAAATGATGTTTGGTTTCCTAAAGAGTTTTAGGTTTAAAGATACCAGATTTTGATCTGGTTTGCATAGAATGAATATTGATAGGCAATGTAGGTTGAGTAATGATAAGAGGAACATAAATAGTAGGAGGAACTGGAGGTGGATTTGGTGATGAGGAAAATGTAAGGATAGGTGAGGATGAGGGTGGAGATGTAGTAGGAGGTGGAGGATTAAGAGAATGAGTGATAGGAGAAAAGGTTAAGGTATTAGGAATGGTGTTATGGTGTTGTAATGTAGGGGAACAAGTACTGGACTGAGAGTGTTAAATGAATTCCTTCTGAGAAAAAGGAAAAGTGGCTTCATTAAAGATCACAAGTCTCGAGAGGTATAAACGACTAGTGAGAGGATCAAGACACTTATAACCTTTATGATTCAAGCTATAGCCCAAGAAGATGCATGCCTTGCTTTTGGGATCAAGCTTGGAACTGGTATAAGGCTTCAACCATGGAAATCACCTACAACCAAATATTTTCAGAGATGTGTAGTCTGGTACTCTACCAAATAACAATTCCCAATGAGATGATTTAGTTGTTGTTGGTGTTCTGTTGATAAGATAGATGGTTGTAGCAAATGCATCATCCCAATAAGACTAAGGGACCTTGGATGCTGCTAGAAGATTGTGAGCAGTTTCAACAAGGTGCATGTGCTTGCGCTCAGCACAACCATTTTGTTCTGGTGTGTGCGAGCAACTAAACTGATGTGATATGCTATGTTGTTGAAGATAACTAATCAATTTAGAACTCAAAAATTCCCCACCAGAATCAAATTGTAGAGTTACAATTTTAGAACTAAGGAAATTTTCAACCAAAGCTTTAAAGGTGACAAAAGTATCAAAGACATCAAACTTGGATTTAAGAGGAAATAACCAAGTATATTTTGTATGTCATCAACAAATATGATGTAATATCGATATCCATTGACAAATAGTAGTGGTACAGGACCCCATACATCAGTGTGCAGAAGCTCAAGGGACTTGCTTGAAGTACTAGATACAGAGCAAATGACAACTTGGAACATTTTCCTAGGGCATAACTAGAACACACAAATTTAGGTAAAGAGTTGGAAACTGAAATACAAGACTTAGATGCTAGCTTATTTAGTATTTTGAATGCAGGATGGCCCAATCGTTGATGCCAGGTATCCTGTGAAGCTTTAGTATATGATGCAAATGCCTGTTAACGGCTAGTAAATGGAGAAGCATGAAAATGATAAAATACAGCTCTCACAGGACCTTTAAAGAGCGTTTTCTTCGAAGAAAGGTCCTTCACAATGAAGTGAAAAGGGTACAAGTGAATAGAGCACCAGTTATCAAGTATGAACTAATTTGCAGAAATCAAATCTTGCTTAAGATGAGAAACATGCAGAACATTCTTGAGAGCAAAACAATGAGAGGCAGTGTTAAATGTAGAAGAGCCAGAGTTAAGTATAGGTAAACATTTTCCATCACCAACATAAACTTGTTCAGGTTCATTGTAGGGCTCATGATTTTGCAAATTTGTGTAGAAGTTAGTCATGTGCGAGCTAGCAACAGAATCAAACAACCATGTGGGAGAAGTAGTTGCATTGTATGCATTTTGAGAATTCTTGGTACTAAAATGCGGATTTATGTGTTGTCAACACTCTGCAGCTTCATGGTCCATATGACAGCAAATTTGGCAAGAGATCTTTCTGTTTGAATTGTTGTAGTGAGAATGAGAACCACGATTGTATCGTTAATTGCCTTGATTTCCACGATTGAATCCTT